GGCAGGGCGACTCGAGCGAAGACCACCTGTCCTCGGTATCGCTGTCGTCCCCACCAGCACTCCCCTGGCCGTCCCTCACATTGCCGCCCGAGTCCGACGCGGCCGTCTGCGGCAGCCCGCTGTCCACATAAGGAGAAGCGAACAGCCACCCACACTTGCACAAGAGCTCCTCTGCCGAGGGCAGCTCATCCGCAGGGATGGAGTCGCCGCGCGGCGCCTCCGAGCTGGACCGAAGCGACGCGTCGAGAGCCTCCCGTCGTCTTGGACTGAGTGACTGGCTTCTGCCGGGCGGTGGGGAGGGGCTGAAGAGATGGTCGGCGGTGAGGGTGGTGCGGTGGAGCATGGCGGCGTGGGTGCGCTGGGCGTGGAGGCCCTGCGGCAGGAGGATGCCCACCTCGGTTCTGGATAGAGGATAGATTGTCCAGTAGGGGAACCAGCCCACGCTGAAGGGAGGAGGAAGGCCAGATGGTTGGTACATCGATCAGTATTTATTGTGGCGTGTGAGATGTGCTGTGTTGTGTTGTGTTGGGTTGGGTTGGGTTTGCTCGCTCACCGTTCTGGCTGGTCCTGTAGACGCCCATAGGTCCACCCCGAAGGATCCCAATACAGCACTTCAACCTGATGGACAAACCACACGCACACGACCAAACGGATGACAGCAGATTGTGACATCTCATCTCATCTGATCTCACCCCTCTCTCACCATGCGCCCTTTCTCCGGCTCCAACAGACTCGGTCTCTCATCGTCTCCCAGGATCCCCCCGCCCCGCAGCGTCTCATCCCCCCGCCACTCCAGCAGCACCTCATGCACCTCAACCCGTCTCACCAGCACCTCCTTGGGCCACTTCTCGCCATCACGCTCCGCCGAATCCACACAACCTCGGTCACCCCCCACAGCACAGGGGAAGCACGGCCGCCGGGGGGGGAAACGTCTCGGCGGCGAAGGGTGGCGGGCGAGGAATGTCGGGAGCATGGTGTCCGAGCCATACAGGCCCACGGGCAGGGGAAAAGCGGAAGACCACTCATCATGATACATCATGGGGGAAGGGGGAGGAGGCGGGCCGGGGGGAGACGGCAGTGACATTGGCGGCTGGGGCGTCGTGTGCGCAGACGGGTCGCTCTCGGACGACTCGCTCACGAAGTACTGGGCAGTCGACGGCGGGCGTGGCGGGGTGGGGCCTCGCAGCCACCGAAAGGACCACTTCTCGTCCTCTTGGTCTCCCTTGCCGTCCTCCTCGTCCGCCTTCTCCTGCCCCTCATCTCTCGACCGCTTCCTGTGGGCGGGAGCGGACGGCGTCTGTGGCGAGCGTGGCGATATGAGGCCCAGCGGCGGGAAGTGGTAGCCCTCCTGAGGATCATAGCCTTCGATGGTGTTGGAGATGGCCCTGATGGTGATTGGCGACCGGCCCTCTGACGGAGTGGATGGCGCGCCTTCCTGGTCCGACGCAGTCGCCTTGTCGTCTCCCCAGCCCCGCCAGTCCTTCTTGGCTTCCATGGCACGCGCGGACGAGGCGAGAGAGGGGAAGGCCGCCTGGGTCGGCAGACGCATGTATGGGAGCGGGTCGAGCTGGCTCTCGTCGGTGCTGGGGAGGGTCGTGTCCGTGCTGCGGAGCGACGTCCCCCAGACGGACTTCTCCTCGATCCGCCGCCTCACGTGTCCCTCCCTCCTCACCCTGCCAGTGGGGACGACGAGCTTCTCTCCCACCTCGTTCTCTCCCCCCTCGCTCCGCTGCTTGTCCGTGGCCATCGTGGTGCAGGTGGCTTGGGAAGGGCTGCCCTCAGCCATGGTCCCGCCAGTCTTGGCCGATGGGAGGCTGGGCGACGTACCGTCAACCATTGGGAGGGCCTTAGCCTGCCCGGTTGAGCCGCTCTCCTTGTCTGGTTCGGCTGGCGGGCTCTCGGTGCCCGTCTCAGGGATGGAGGGGGACGACGGCGCCGCCCACCCGCTGGCCCTCTCGTCCATAAGGGACACAGACGGCGAGGCGTCTCCATCGCCCCTCGTGAGGGCGGGGAACGATCCAGTGTCATCCAGCAGCGGTCTATCAGCCTTCTTGCCCTTGCCGCCCGTCGTTCTGGCCTTGGCCGCGTACTGCATGCCCACACCGGTGGGCGTGATCGGGTTGCACGGACTCACCCGCACGATCCCCGAGTGCCCCGTATACGGCACTGTGCCCCGGCCGCTGGCCTTGACCACCACCGAGGGCACAGCCGGCGACGGGCCCGGGGAAGAGCCGCTGTCCGTGGCCCTCTCGCCGTCCGACGCAGATGGGGACGACGCGTCGATAGACGGGCGCGGTCGGCCGCCGTGGGCCGAGCCACCGCTGCTGGAGCTCTGCGTGTGAAGGCTCTCGCGCCGGAGGCCGCCCATGTGCTGGTCCTCGCTGTGCTGTGGCTGTGAGGATGGGGCGACAGACGGGGGAGATGGAGAGTGGCCGGGCGACGAAGACGCGACGGGCGGCCCGTAGGCCCACATGCCGCGAGCCACAGGTGAGGCAGAGGCTGGCGTGGGGGACGCTGACCGGCCCTCTCCGTCGTCCTTGATGACGGGCTGCGATGGCGCCACCTCCACTTTGATTGCTTTCTGCTTCCACACCGACGTCGCATTCGGGGGCGTCTGCGTGCCGCTGACCCGCCCCTTGCGCATCCCAGCCGATGATGACGCTGCCACACTCCCACTGCCGTCCTCCGCCCGGTCGCCCTCTCCGGCCTTCTTCCGTCTCTTCTGTGCCGACAGCTGTGCGTCGAGGTGGTCATTGGACGGTCGGCTGATGGGTCTGGTGTGTGGGGTGTGTGCCGGTGCGGCCTTGGCAAGGGCGGTGTCGATAGTGGCGTTGGATCGGGTGGGCGTGACTGACGCCTGGCGGCTGAGGTTGGACGGGGTGCCTGACGTACGCCGACGAGCCTCGCTGCAGACACACACAGAGAGAGAGAGAGAGAGAAGAATCGGCGAGTGTTCGTTGCGTGCGTGTGAGTGTGAGTGTGTGTGTGTGTGTGTACGTGTGTGATGAGATGCCCCGGTGGACGATGCTCTCCTTCCTCCCTCTGAGATCCTTCTTGGCGGCGTCAGGCGGCCCCGGTGCCTCGATGCCCTCCACCCCGTCGGCCACAGGCGACTCGTCAACAGCCATGGGAGACGGCGACGCAGCAGCAGCAGCAGCTACAACGGCCTGCACAGAGAGAGGAGAGAGGGGGAGGGGGTGGTTGTGATTGATGTTGTCTGTGTGTGGTGGTGTGGTGATGGCCGGACGGGCGGACGTGACGTACCTCGTTCGTGGCGTGTGCGTCTGCGGTGGTGGTCTGGTCGGGGACTATGGTGCCGAAGGGCTCGTATATCTCGGTGTAGACGAGGTAGGCGTAGTCGTCACTCTGATCCACATAAGGCTCCAGCTGCGCGTGCAGGTCATCCAGCAGGGACTCTGTTATCTGCAGATCGATCACACACCAGACCATCAGCCACCCAACACACACCAAACACACACACGTACACGTGTGTGTCGCTGCTGTCTGTCTGTCTGTCTGTCTGTCTGTGCGCCTCTGCGTGCGTGTCTGTCTTGTATGCGTACGTCTTGGTCCTGGTTTGCGAGTCTTCTTTTGATGGTTTCTAGGTGTCTGATGTGGTCGCCGTGGTTGCTCTTGACGGCCTGTATCTGGGAGATGCGATCGTTGATGCGATCCACCTCTGCCTCGTCCAAAGGCGGCGGCGGACTCTTGGCCTGACGCTGATCAATACACACACACCGTGTCGAGATGATTGTGTGAGGATTGGCTGCCCGTGCAGACAGACTTTGGTTTTGGCTGTCTTGCGCTTGCTGGTGTCAGGTTCGGCTCTGGACGTCCGCTCCTTCAGGTTTTTCTGCAGCTGAAGAATCTCAGTCTCGATCGCCTTGAGAGACCCAGGGAGGGAGGGACATATATATCCACACGCATCTCTCTCTCTCTCTCTCGTGTGCATGTGGTGTGTTACTTTGCTTACCTCTTGCTGCTGTGTGAGTGTTTCTATCATTGTCTGCAGTCGCCGTTCGCTCTCGGTGAGGCCCTCCTGGCGGTCCCGCAGCTTGTGCAGCACCGCCTCGCTACCAAGGCCCTCACGATAGAACTCACGACCGCGCTTGTAACGGATCTCAATCTGGATAGACGACCAAGCGACCGATGGACAGACAGAGAAAGTAAGGTGGGCTGGTGTGTTGTGTGTTGTGTGTTGTGTGTTGTGTGTTGTGCTGTGCTGTGGTGACAGATTTGTGCGCGAACCGAACCGCATGGTAGACTCTTCTGAGCTCGTCCTTCTGTGCGGCCTCGTTGGTCTTGCAGTACTGCTCGACGGCCGTGTTGTAGCTCTTGACCTTCTTCAAACAAGTCTCCAGCTCACACTCCAGCTGCAACCAACCACACACGCACACACACCCACGCAGAGAGAGAGATGCATGTCCGCAGCGGTGTCCACATGTTTCCCCCAATGCACCCAAGACCAGACCGCTGTGCTGTGTAGGTACCTTTTTCTTTTGGTCTATGGCATGCTGCACGTCCACACGGTCCAGCGCCCCCGCCGACCGCAGTGCGCTATGCTTCCGCCCCCTGAGCAGCGAGGCGTCCTCGACGGCTCCCCCGCCCGAGTCGAGCTCGTGGTGAAAGGCCTCCAGGAAGGCACAGTACTCGTCGAACTTCTCGTCATAGCGGTCCAGACTCGCCTGCACGTCCTTCAGAAGCTTGTCGATGTCCAGCTGCAGCTTGCGCGCCATACCGACTCGACTGCAGGCCTTTCGTGCTCGTCAGTGGCGGGGACGGCGGGTAGAGGGGGCGTGACGCCTCACAGAGGGCATGAGGCATCGGACAGAGCTACAAGGTCGCTGAGGCGCATGCAAGAGCGAACAAAGAGGGTAGAAGGTTCGCCTCCAGGCCTTCAGGTGGAGCCTCCCGGCGTCAGTGTGTTGTCGGGAGGAATATATAAAGGCCTTGCGGAAAGAGGCGTCCGCTCTCAAGCTCGCGCGAGCTAAAATCCGACGCCGTCACGCACTGAAATTTCAGAGGCAGTGACGGGGCTACACAGCTGCACGGAAATCTATCGTCTTCTCTGGCGACACCGACAGCAGCGGCATGGTCAACCAAAGAGAAAAGGCCTTGCGGAAGGGGGCGTGAAGTCCGCCCCATTGCAAACGCCTTTACTAAGTCTGGTGATCTGGTGAATGAAGACTCTGAGGGAAAGGCCAAAAGAGGAGTTTTGTTTTCGTCTCCACGCCGTCTCCCCACAGTCATTCCCCCATGCCAGCCTTCGTCAACCCAGCTGTGTTCGTGCCACGGCGCGACTACCCAAGCGGCACCACCCCTCCCCTCAAGCTCCCCCTCATCAGCTCAACCGTCCCCCTGCCGGAAACGCACTCATTCGCGAAGACCCCAAGACAGGCCATCACCACCAGCCAAAGGGCCACACAGGAGCCCGCGACGCACAGCCCCGTCCTCGCTCAGCAGGCCGACATCGCCTGCAAATACCCGACGGGCTCGCGAGTGGTTTTTGGCAAGGCCATTCGGCGGGACGGCCGTGTGGGGATGGGCAGGGAGGGGCAATGTTGGCCTGGGCCGGGGGAGTACGACATGAATATAACGCCACTGGTGTCGCCGCGGGCGGTAATTCGGTTTGGCCGGTCGTGCCGGTTTGAATGGGAGGAGGGGCAAGGGCGGGAAGGAAGTCAACACGGCGAGAGGAGGCAGCAGCGTCCCGAGCCTTTGTCGTATGACCCGCTCACTGCATGGGCACGAGTGTGCGCACCGGGAGTGCCGGCCTATGGTAGGGACAGGGAGAGGGAGAGGGAGAGGGAGGGGTGAGAAACCATCTCCATGATTACGGTGGATGGTTTCAGGCCCTCTGCGTAACCGAGAGAGGCGGATGCCGTCAAGTGAGACAGAAGGCCCCGGCCCTGCCGCATATGTGACCGACAGCCAGCAGGTACCCACCCACCTACCCTACCTGTATGTGTCTATCTGTGTGCGCACAGACAGACAGACAGACAAACATACAAACATACACACACTGCCTCATTGTGTTGTGTGCGCCGGGTGTGGTGTGGTGTGCTGTGGTGTGGTCTGTGTCCCTCCCTCCCTCCCTCCCCCCCTCTCTCAGACCAAACGCATGACAGAGCCGCAGGCGCTGTTCCAGCCCTCATTTGTGAGCAGCAGCCACTCCACTGAGTGTGGGTGTTGTTGATGTGTTGATGTCACTAGCTAGCATCTAGGGATGTCTGTGGGTGTGGGTGTGGGTGTGTGCTGCAGAGGTTCGCCCGTTCCAGCCGGCTGGACTCGACTGCCGCCCGCCTGGCGGCTGGGCAGGGCTCCGGCCCGCACGCAGGACCAGGTCAGATATATGATGTGGTCAAGTGAATGAAATGAGAGCGACCATTACACACACACACACGTATACCAAGTCAACACGTCCATGCATCCATCCATCCATCAGGTGCACAGCAAATCCAATGTGTGTGTGTGTGCGGCTGTGGTGCCAGGTAGCTACAGTGTGCCGTCTACGTTCCGAAGCTCCGACTTCACTCCGAGTGTCCGGGTGCCCAGAGGCAGGACACGGGCACAGGCCGGTGAGGGGGAGGGAGGGAGAGAGAAAGAGAGAGAGCGTCAGGGAGGCCGTGGGAAGGGGAGAGGGTTAGCAGCGACACAGACAGACAGACAGACTGACAGACAGAAAGGCCTCAGGCACTACGGGAAAACATTTGACGAAAACTGACTGACTGACGGACAGCAGCAAGTCTAATGAAGGCGTTGCTGCGTGTCTGTGTGTGTGTGTACGTCTGTGTGTGTGTCCGTTAGGTTGGTCTCTCTACTCGCGCCGGCCACTGCCCCCTCTCCACCACCACCACCACCCGGACGCCTCATCCCTCCCCGGCCCGTGCACAGCCCGACAGTACACCACTTTTTGATCCACACCGACACATACAAAGACAGACAGACAGACAGAGCCAGGTTATCGACGTGTGGTGTGTGTGGGGTGGGGTGGCGAGTTATCTAGCTAGATGAACAGACGGACAGACAGGCGAGTGTGTTGGCTACGAGAAGAGAGTAGAAGCCACAGACAGACACGAGTGTTGTGTGTGTCCATGTGTGTGAAAAGCACTCTTGCTCGTTCGGCTGCTGGCTTTCGAGGCGGTCAGTCTGTCCATCCATCCATCCATCCGTCTCTCCGTATCTACGTCCCCCCGCCCGCCACCGATGGAAAAAATCAGTGCACCCACACCCACACACCACACACCGCACACACAGCCGTCCACTGCATACATACGTCTGGTCGATTGGATTGCTCGAATTCAATCCTGCTCCTGCTGTGCCTCTGGCTGCTGGTGCTGGTGCTGGTGCTCGCCGCCGCCGGCCGTGTGCTGCTCCTGCTGCTGCTGGTAGGGGTGGTGGTGGTGGTGGTGCTGGTGCTGCGCCTCCATTGCGGCCTGGCTGAGCTGCTGAGCCGTCATGGCGGACTGTGCGTTGCGCAAGACCTCCGGCAGCATCGACAAAGCCCAGGGGCCGGGGTGCATGTGCTCGCCACCTGAGACATATGCCGACAGACAGACAGACAGACAGATGGATGGATGGATGGATGGCACACAGAGATGGGGGAGTGTGTGTGTGTGTGTGTGTGTGAGGGAGAGGGTACATACCCTCTCCGTTGACGGCGCCGGAGGGGTCGAGGCTGTAGCCGTCATAGCCCCCGCTGCCGCCATGGCAGATGAAGCGGTGGGCGTTGACCGCTGCGGCGCCTGTCTCTGCACCGCACCCATACACATCCATCCATCCCCCCGTGCTGTGCTGTGATTCACCCACGGGTGGGTCAGCCCAGCCCCCCACGCACGCACTCACCCGAGTAGCCCTGCTCAATGACTTCGTCGGCCGCCATGAGGGGGTGGTCCGTCGTCCGCCGAGTGCGGCGGCCCTTCTGCCCACAAAGACACACACACACACACAGAGAGAGAGAAAGAGAGACCACATTTCATTCATGTGTGTGTGTGTGCGGGCCATCCCATCCACACACGCACCAACGCACCAACGCACCTTTCTCTCCTCCTTCGGCTGGACTTTCGCCTTTGGCTTGGGTTTGGGCTTGGGCGTCTTGCGAGGCTTCTCGGCCCGCCCGACGATGGGACGCGGCTCGGCGTTCTCGCTGACCTCTACGTCCACTGTGCCCTCGCCGTCAAGACCTCCACGCACACCCACACCAACACCGCCCCCACCACCAGCCACAGATCTGGTCAACAAGTGGACACACAGGCGGGTGTTCCATGTGTGTGTGGGTGTGGGTGTGGGTGTGGGTGTGTGGGGTGTTGCGCTGCGTACACGCCCTGTGCGATTTCGGTTGAGTCCTCCCAGTCGTCCCACTGCATGCGGCGCTGCTGGTCACGCACACGAATCTGAATCAATCGCACCATACCAGACCAGACCAAGAACACACACACAGAGGATTGATGTGTGTGTGGATTTATTTGTGGATGTGTGGGTGAATGCAATCTCATTCTCTTGCTTACCGCCTCTTTGAAGGCCTGACGCACGCCGTCCTCCGTGAACTCTGACGGCCTGCACACACACACACACACACACAGGTGCAGTGCAGTACAGCAATGCTGGGCGCTTCCGTCTGTGTGTGTCCCCCTCCCCCTCTATGCTATGCTACGACTCCCGCACACACCTGACTGGTCTCATGATCTGGTAGCTGCCCGACTGGCGCCAGACATTGTTGCCCTCCTTGCGAGCTTGCTGCACGGCAGTGCAGTGCACCAGCGCACCCACACCCACCCCAGGCACACACACAAGGTCGTTTCATTCATTCTCTGTCCGTCCGCCAGGAGAAGGCACGCACCCACCCACATACCTACCTACCTGCAACATCTGTGTGACTTCCTGGCTGCCCATCTGGGCGGGGTGGATGGTGCCGACCCACACGTGGTAATACCTGCAGGCCCACACCCATACACACACATACAAACAAGACACACGTGACTTTAGTCCTTTGTGTCTGCTGTGACAGCGTGGGTTTGGTGTGTCTGTCTGTGTGTCTGTCTGTGTGTCTGTCTGTGTGTCTGTCTGTGTCCGTGTGTGGAGGGAGGGTATACCCGCGAGGGTGCCAGTGCAAGCCCAGGACGCCCCTGCGCATGCGAGACTTGGGTCGCAGAGGTCCACCGCCGCCCTCCTCGCCCTCACCGTCCTCCTGATGGATGGATGGATGTGGCCACACACGTGTGCTGTGCGCGCGTGGTGGGTCTGTCTGTCTGTCTGTCTGTTCTGTGTTCGCCGTGGAGTGAGTGGATGAGTCCATGTGGCCTACGCGTTTCTTGGGCTTGCGCTTCCGCTGCGGCGGGGGCATTTGCTGTCGTATTAGCATGCACACACACACACACGAGTGGTGGGTATGTGTGTGGCTGGCTGGCTGGCTGGCTGGCTGGCGGGCTGATTCACTCAGCTGCGCGTACCTCTAGGCGCCTCCTGTCAATCTCGCGCTGCTCGTCCAGCAGGGACTTGGCGAACTGACAGCGTGTCCATGGGGATGTGTGTGTGTGTGTGTCTGTGCGAGCAAGCAACGGCCGGACCTGGTTGAGCTCTTCGTCTCTGAGGATCCTCCGTGACGTCAGGGCAGACAGGCCGTCACCTGCAGGCACACACACGGCCGAGAACGCACCAAGGCGTGTGTGTGTGTGTGTGTGTGCGCGAGTGCACCATACCATCGTCAGGGCGTGGCAGGATGCGACGGCTGTTGGACGAGTCGCCTGCACCACACACACACACACACACACCGCGCGCGCGCGCGCACACACACAGATGCACACACAGACGGTCATCTGTGTGTGTGTGTGTGTCGCCGCCCGCCCGCCGTCCACCTGGTCGCTTCCGCGTCTGTCGTTTCTTCTGCGGCTGCGACGCCTCCCGGTCCCCCGCAATCGCCTGTTGAGCCGCGTACAGCTGCATGAACTCAGCTCCGGGGATCTGCATGCCTGCACACACACACACACACACACACATGGATGGATGGATGGATGGATGGACACACAAGTGTGGCGTGGCGTGTTGTGTGATGTCGTGGGTGAATTACCGGCGGCAAGGTACTGCTGGATGGCCGCTTCGTCGTAGCCCCAGCCCGCCATGGCCTCCGTGCCGAAAGCATATCCCATCGCCGCCAAATACTATATGTCAGTCACACAAACACACACAGGTTTGCAGGCCGGTAGCTGTACCTCTCTCTCGCCCTCCCCGTGTCTCTGTGTGAGTACCTGTGCCTGCTGAAAGGCGTACCCCTCCAGCCCGGTCATCTGGTCGGCAGCAGCGGCAGCAGCAGCAGCTGCTGCTGCAGCGGCTACAGCGGCACTCTCGCCCTCGCCCTCGTCCTTGGTAAGCAACGGGTCTGCGAGCGTCATCCATCAACCACATGTGATTGATGTGTCTTTCCTCTCTGTATTGTGTGGGCTGCTCTCCCTGTGTGTGTGGGGGGGGGGAGGGAGGGTGGGTGGGGGAGGGTGGGGGAGGGTGAAGTGAATGCGCCTACATCCGGTGGGAAGGAGTGCGTGTGGCAGCCCCAGCGCCTGTGCGTGCGGCGGGAGACCACTATCGACCATCACACGAGCAGCAGCAGCCTGTCCAGTCCACACACACACACACACACATTGAGTACCCACCCACCCCATCTGGACACAACACAAGCTCACCGCAGCTGCAGCGGCCTCGTGGCCCTGTGCGTCGAGTTGTCCCTCGTCGTTGGCCGCATTGGCGCCCTCGTCGATGCCGTCGCCATGTGCCGAGCTGCTGGCCTCCTGCCGGCCGCCCTGCCCGCCTCCCATGTACCCTGGCGACGAACCACCACCCCTGCAGCAACCAACACAGGTTGACAAGGAGAGAAAAACAGGATACAGGATTGTGTGTGGCAGGGTGGGTGAAGGGCTGGGTGGACTGTTTAGGTACGTACGATCGGGCCAGCATAGAGCTGCGGAGGAAGTCCTTGAGCTGCTTCTTGGGCGGAGACGGATCTGGCCAGCCATGCGAGTGAATCGAATGCACGCACTCACTGTATGTCTCTGTCTGTCATATCTTCCCGTCAGATCCCCCCCCCACACAGCCACTCACTAACCAGCTCGCTCACCTTTGGCACGGCCGCTATCGAGCGACAGAGGTGCGAAGGGCGGAGGCACGTCGCCACCATCTGGTATCATTCACACCACACACACACACAGGTGCACACAATGTGTGTGTGTGTGTGTGTATGCAGGGTGCCTGCCGACTGACTCACCGATGCTACTGGATGCCACGGCGTGCGATGGGCTCATCAACGATCGCTTCGTCTTGTCCTTATTGCCGCGGTAGTGAGCCGCCAAAGCCGGAACTGCACTCAACACACACAACACACACAGCATAGCACAGCACAGCACATGCAGGTCAACAAGAGGTGGGGCCCCGGTGGGGTTATGTGCTTATTGACTGACCGAGTCGCTGTTTGGGCGGTCGTCCGGCGAGGGGCAGCTGCTGGTCCTGCGAGGCCACGAGAGCGCCGCTGCTCGAGGCTTGCTCCTACACCATACCACAACCACCACACACACAGACACAGACACAGACATGGGCGTTGCACTTGATGGTGTGTGGTGGGTTACCTACCTGTCCTTCTGTGTCGTCTTTGTGTCGCTTTGGCTCCTGGAACATGGCGAGGCAGTCGACGATGGCACTGGGGGCGGCAAAGGAGCAGCAGGGAGGGAGGGAGAGATGCCATCTGTGTGAGTGGGGGGTGTCTGTGTGTGTGTACCGTTTTGGCTGAGTAGCTCTGCCAATACACAGACGTCCACAGACGGGACGGGCAGATAAATAGCACAAGAACACACACACACACACAGAGATGCTGGTGTGGTGGTGTAGTGTACGCGACATGCCCACCTCTCTCTCATGCTGGGCGTGAGCCCCTCCCCCTCGCTCTCGCTGTCGCTGAATCAACAGCCACACCATCACCATACATACCACACCCCATCCATCTAGATTTCCGTCCCTCCCGAGCTCTCCCACACGCACCAGTAGCCGAACTCGCTGGCCTTGTTCTTCTTGCGATTGGTCGATTCTCGTGCGTTGCTGTGTCCCCCGCTCTGCCCAGCAACGGGCGGCAGGGAGGGCGGCTCCAGGGGGGGCATGCACAGCAGCTGGCGAATGAGGGGGTAGTGGTCTGAACGATCAACGATGCACGCACACACACACACACA